GCTGATCACCAGCATCTTGGGTTTGGAGAGGGTGAGGGCGGGGGCGCGGGGGCGCGATGGGTCTCGCTTCTCTGCCTCGCTCGGCTTCTCGGCCCCTGCCAAGCGCAGAACCCCCACGTCCTGTTAGACGGTCCCCCCGCGGCTCCCCTGTTCCCCAGCAGCAGCCCAGCAGTGTCATCCCAGCATCCTCCCACCAGCATCCCAGTAGCAGCATCCCACCAGCATCCCACCAACATCATTCCACCAACATCATCCCGGCATCATCCCAGTATCATCCCACCAGAATCATCCCACCAGCGTCATCCCAGCATCATCCTCCCACCAGCATCATCCCAGCATCATCCCAACATCATCCTTCCACCAGCAGCATCCCACTAGCACCCCACCAGCAGCACCCCAGCATCACCCCAGCATCCTCCCAGCACCATCCCAGCATCAGCCCACCAGCAGCATCCCACCAGCATCCATCCAGCATCACCCCACCGGCATCCTCCCACCAGCATTATCCCACCAGCATCCCACCAGTACCATCCCAGCATCATCCTCCCACCAGCATTATCCGAGTATCATCCCAGCAGCATCATCCCACCAGCATCATCCCAGCACTATCCCAGCATCATCCTTCCACCAGCATCCCACCAGCATCACCCCAGCATCATTCCACCAACATCACCCCACCAACAACATCCCACCAGCGTCATCCCAGCATCCTCCCAGCATCCTCCCACCAGCATCCTCCCACCAGCATCATCCCACCAGCATCATCCCACCAGCATCCCACCAGCACCAGCCCAGCATCCTTCCACCAGCATCCTCCCAGCATCATCCTCCCACCATCATCCTCCCAGCACCATCCTTCCACCAGCATCCTCCCACCAGCATCCTCCCACCAGCATCATCCCACCAGCATCATCCCACCAGCATCCCACCAGCACCAGCCCAGCATCCTTCCACCAGCATCCTCCCAGCATCAGCCCAACATCATCCCAGCATCCTCCCACCAGCAGCATCCTACCAGCACCATCCCAGCATCTCCCCACCAGCACCATCCCAACATCATCCTTCCACCAGCATCCTCCCAGCATCATCCCAACATCATCCCACCAGCACCATCCCAGCATCAGCCCACCAGCATCCTCCGAACGTCACCACCACTTTCCCAGGTGCCCCAAACCCTCCTCCCATCCCCAAGTAGCCCCTCCCACCCCAAATTACCCCCTCCCACCCAAATTACCACCTCCCGCCCCCCATCGCCACCTTCTCCCCATCCCACCCCAACCTCAGATCTGGGCTGGGTGAGACTCAGCACATCGCTTGCCGGTGGCTTTTCCCTATGGGAATTAGGATCTCCCAGGGAAATCTGGGGTCACTCGAGTGATCCCCCAAGCCCTGGGGGGGCTGT